TCTATTATATTATTATTCATTTTTATAAGACTTAGCATGGAAGATAACTATCATCTTATAAGAAAAAAAAAAAAATGGAACGGAATGACTAAGATGAACATTAAGGACACAGAAGACCACCTGTCAGCCACCTGTCCACTTCCCATGACCGGAATTTTCTCTCATCGAAATTCAGAATGAAACTCGCTTTACCGGAAGAAAAAAAAAAAGAAAAAAAAAAGAAAAAAAAAAGATTGATAAAAAATCAACTGTCAATGAAGTCAAAATTTTCATTTCTCTAAAAATTGCTTTGATGATTTTACTCTATTGGATATGAGGAAATCGGATACATTGAGGTCATATTTCGTGAATTTTTAAAAATCTAAATAAAATTAAATAGTTCTGTGATTCCAATTCTATATCTTTTTCATTAGCAAGATCAAACCAATTTTCCCTCTCTTATAAATAGAGAAAAAGAGTCAATACCCTACCATTCCTCTAATGAAACCAAATGATCTTTTCAAAAAATATACTTCTAACATTCCACCTCCTTCATCAAAAAAAAAGGAAAAAGAAAGACAGAAAAAGTCCTTTCTCTCTCTCCCCCTCCCCCTCCCCTAACCTTCACAACCCCAAAAATCTCACAATCCTCCCCCCCCAAAAAAAAAAAAAAAGAAAAGAAAGAGAAAAAAATCCTAGAGCAAATAAGAAGGAATCTCAAAGTTAAAAATATCCTGGAGTTAAAAAAATGAATCCTAGAGTAAAAAAAAAAAAAAAAAAAAAAAAAATCCTAGTTAAAAAGAAGGATTCCTAGAGGGAAGATAAAACAAATCCTATCGTTCAAAAAAAGGAATCCTTGAATTCCAAAAAAAAAAAAAAAAAAAAAAAAAAAAATCCTACAGTTAAAAAGAAAAATGACCAGATATCCTAGGTCCTCGAGTCCTTCCCAGACACCACTGACCTGTACTCCACCAGGAACGGGAACAGGTAGGCGCGCGTCGGTCCAGAGCCGCCCCAGGGAGTTGTTCTGGAAGCAGGAGTACAGACCAGGACCTGCTCGGCGTGGGGTGCACCTCGGCCAGGGGCACTGCGGGGGGGAGGGAGGGGGGGCGGGGGTGGGTCAAGTCGTTCTATTTACCTTATCTTGTCATTATCTATTTGTTATCCCTTTATTCTTTTTATTAGCATTTATTTATTTATCTTTGTACTTATAAATTTATCCTTTTATCTTTTATTAGTCATTTATCTATTTCTGTTTATCTAGTCCTTTATATATTTATCTTTTATTAGGCATTATCTATAAATCCATTATTCTTTATTTACCTTTTTGTGTATTTATCCATTTGTTAATTATTTATATAATCACTTATTTGTATATTTATGCATTTACTTATTTATCTATTTATTTTTCTACTATTTATTTATTAATCATTGATCTTCTATATTTATTACTTCTTTATCAATTCATGTTATCTATATATTTTGTTATTTGTTTTATTTATTTACTTATTCAGCTCATTCTGTTTATACTATTATCGCTATCTATTAATCATTACTATCATCATTATTATTATTCTTTTTATATTATCATTCTTATCATGATTATCATTACGACTATTATGATTATCATTATCATTATATTATACATATATCTAATATCTACCTACTATATTTTTTTGATTTGATTGATCCTTCATTATATATACTCTATCATCCATCTATTTTTTTTGGATTTGATTAATCATATCATTATTATTATACATCTATCTATCCATCTATCTATATTTTTGTGATTTGATTCATTATTTCCATTTATCACCATAGTCATTAACCAAAAAAAAAAAAAAAAAAAAAAATACCACTTACTGTCGGAGTACATGACCTCAATGGAGTCAGTGGCCGACTCCCAGACCACATGCGGATCCAGATGGCGACGTTGGTGGCCACCAGGTGCATGAACCCGAACCGCGCCACCTGCCCGAACTTCTCCACGATCACCTGCGCGGAGAGAAACGTAAGTGTCGGTCTGTTTTTTAGGTCTGTGGGGGGATGGTGGGATTTGTGTTGTGTGGGGGTGTGGGGATGGTGGGATGTGGGGGGGGGGACTGTGTGTGCGTGTGTGGGATTGTGTGTGGGTGTGTGGGACTGTGTGTGTATGTGTATCCCAAATGTGCCCACATTCCGGATTTTGGACGTATCCCTTAAAAAATCCTAAATATGTCTGTATCCCTCAAAAAAAAAAAAAAAAAAAAAAAAAAAAAAGACGAAATAAAAAGAATGTGTCCTTATCCTTCAAAAGAAAAAATAAGAAAAAATCCTGGATGTGC